GACAGCACTGGCCATGTTTGTGTTACACTTGGTAAAGAACAGTTTAAAATAGGGTGTTAAGCTTGTTTTAGTGAAACACACTCACTTTGTTAGTTGACCTTTGTTCTTGTTGTTGTCGACACCATTGTAAGTGACAGCAGCCAGTTTCCTACTGCGATAGTTCTCATAATGGACATTGTTGGTCACATCCTTCAGGTCCTGCATGTGAGTTCTGTGGTTGAGGAGAAATATTTTAAAAATAGAGATGCGTCTGAAGAAACAATAAAGAAATTTATGCTAAACAAACATTATATTTCAAAGTTGTGTTTTGGAAATGCTGAAATACTGAATGATTACCACAAAACTATATTAATTATTATCAACTGTTTTTACATTTTTAAAAACAACAATTGTGTCATATCATATGCTTGAATTAAACTTTTGCATTACAGGAATAAATAACATTTTAAACTTATAAAACAGAATAGAGTTTTGAATTGTATAAATATTAGACAACATTTTGTGTTTGTGTGTGTGTGTGTGTGTGTGTGTGTGTGTGTGTGTGTGTGTGTGTGTGTGTGTGTGTGTTTGATTATTTGAATGCAGTCTAGGTGAGCATAGGAAGCTTATTTAATAAAAAAAAGAAAACTAAAATTGTATCGCTGTAGGTCCATCTAATATACTGTAAACCCTGATGTTTTTGAATGGTTAGCTGAGTGTCAATATGAAGAAATTATGAGAATTCCATCTTCATCATTAGGTACCAGCGCTGGTGTAGAAAAATCGTTTTGTACCTGATGAGCATGTTTCGAAGTATTGTGAAGTCACAGTGCTCCCCATTCTCCACTAAAGCAAAAGAAAACAGTGCATTAAAACTACAAAAACAACTACTGAAACAACTATTGAAAACATGTATAACATTTACTGAAAACAACCCCCCAGATGTATATAAATAAACTAAAACATTGAAGCAAAATATGAAAACAAAAAAAATTTGTTTATTATGCATTAAATGTAATTAAAATGAATGAATGTAATAAAGTTCATTGAAACAAAATAACTAATACACACAAAAACAAGCCAAACTGATCAAAAACAATTACAACAATAAATAAAAATGCAAAAAAAAAAAATTCTTACCGAAAAGGAACCAAAAAAAACACACCAACAAAACTAATCTAGTATAAACAAACAAACAAACAAAATGACCCAAACCAAAATTTGAAAAGAAAACACAATGAAATCCAAACAAAACAAACAAACAAAACTGCTCAATAAAAAAAAAATAAACAAAAAAATGGCCCAAAACCAAACTATGATCAAACAAACAAACAAACAAACAAACAAACAAACAAACAAAATGACCCAAAACCAAACTATGATCAAACAAACAAATAAACAAACAAAATGACCCAAACAAATATTAGAAAAGAAGCACAATGAAATCTAAACAAAACAAACAATCAAAACTACTCAATAAAAAAATCAACAAAAAGTGACCCAAAACCAAACTATAATCAAACAAACAAATAAAATCACTCACTAAAAACAAACAAGTATAAAGAAAACACAATAAAATCTACAAAAAAAACACAAAAAAACTTCTTAATGACAAATAATCAAAATGACTCAAAACCAAACTACAATCAAATAAGCATAAACATAAATAGACCGCCCACTGAAAACAAACCAAAAAAAGAAAACAAACAAAACTAAACAAAATAAACTGCTCTGTGAAAACAAAATTTTTAAACCACCCCAATGCTTTGATTGTTGAAGTTCTGACCTTACAATTACGCTCTCTGGAACAAACTCATTACTCAGCC